ATGGAGTTTTCAATATCGGTCTATATGCGCACTGATATATTTTTTATACTTTAACCAATTTGTAGCCCTTGTCGTGAGCATATAGGGTGACTCTTTTTCTTGCGGCTGATGCCACAAGGTGAAAAGTACAGGTGAGTGGTCTGATGAGAGATCTGCAACTGATTCTGTACTAATAAGGCCGCGAGGAATTTTCCTTGTCACCGCAAAGTCAATCAAATCTGGCAACTTTTGCGGGTCTGCCGGCCAATATGTAGGCTTTCCAGGAGAAGCGTAATCGAGTTTGTTTCTTCTACAAATAAGCGCGTCATATAATTGCTTGCCTTTAGGGTTGGACAAGCGTGAGCCCCAGTGAGGGTGCTTCGCATTATAATCACCTGCAGCAAGGAAGCGCTCTCCCAGCGAACTGAAGAAATCCATAAACTGTTTTTCTGTTACCGTGAAACGTGGGGGACAATAAACCGCGGACAGCGTAATATCACCTTGCTTTGTTTGTACGCATATTGATGTTGCTCGCAGACAATTCTCGGCAATTCCAGTCAAATGATGGTGTTTAATCCGGTTTCTGACTAAAATACCAGTTCCGCCATGCGCCTTTCCATCTGGATGATTCGTGCAATAAAAGGTATATCCCGAAATGTCAAAATTATATCTATTAGTTAGGTGTGTTTCAGCAAGGAGCATTATGTCAATTTCCTTGTCCTTAAGAAATTTTGTCAGCTCTAGTTTGTGGCGAGGAATGCCATTTGCATTCCAGAGGGCTATTTTAAGTAAGGTCATTATCTTGTTTGCTGAGTAGCAAGCAGGTTGAGCAGCGTATTTTGATTTCGCATGAGTTCTTGCATTGTGTTTTGCATGAAAGTCATGAAATTCATCATGCTTTGTTGCATCGACGCTCTCATAGCTTCGATATTGGATTGTTTACCATATTGTGCATGGGGATGCTGTTCTTGCGGCGCAACTTGAGGTGCAGTTTTTGTAGGGGCACGGTTTTCTAAGCCTGATTTTAAGGCACTTGCAAACGAGACGCCATTGACGGTGTTTGATTGAACTGTTGGCGACGTGGCTCTTTTGGCGAAGAAGACGTCAGGATTCATTTGGGAGGGTACAAAGGCATTCGGTACATTATGAGTACGTATGGAAGCCACGCGTTGGTTGATCCGATTTTTTAACTCCTTATAGACTGGGCAGCCTCTGTGGTTTGCTGTGTGATTTCCACCGCAGTTGCCACAATTTTTTGCACGCGGGTCTTCCTTGTTTGATGTGCAAGTGGCAGAGACATGTAGCTCTCCACAAGCTACGCACACTGAGCGAAGCGTGCAGTAAGACCTAGTATGACCATACTCCTGGCAGTTGGTGCATTGTACAGGGCCATTTCTCTTATGCGGTTCTTCCACAGTTATCCTACGATGCAGCAGATATTGTAATTTATAAATTGGATGCACATCGTTTTTGCCCAGAGGTTTGTTTTCAGGCTCGAGCTCAACTTTAAACATAGGTTGAGAGATTTTGTTCCTATTAAAAATATTCACAGCAGCTTTTGGATTGAAACCTTGTTCTTTAAGTGCTTCCAAAACTTCCACAGCTTCAACGCTTGGTTCGATACCTTTAATTACAATTTGTAGACCTTTTGCACTTTTAAGTTGGTATGTATAAAATTTTGTGTTTGTGTCATTCAGGTATTTGGACACTGTTCGAAAATCCTGTCCGGAATAAATTTGTACTTTAGTTTCGCGAATGTTTCCCTTAGATAGTGGGATAATATGAAACTTATTACTACCGATTAGCTGTGTGAATTTTTTTACAAGAGCGCTTGGATTCTCTTCTCTTATAAAAATGGGCGGAGGTTTGGCATTAGTAGCTTTTGCAGCACCTTCAGAAATTTGGCTATTCACATCATCGGCATTGTCACTTAGTGCAAATCTATTCGTACTGACTTGCTGAGTTGAGGTTAGGCGGTTTATTTTTGTCTTACTGCCCGTTGAATTTTGCGGACTAAGTTTTCTTTTTATTGTAACATAGCGGTCCATTCCAGTCTGTATGGCCGCATTTTTAGTTGTTTCATTTTCAACTTTTCTTGCGCTTTACCTTTGTTGCCAGTGCTTGCACTCAAGTTAATTTGTGCTTGTGCAGCAAGAATAGGCCGGGCTGTTGACACCGCTGTGCAGTCGGCAGGTACCGGTGTGTTTGTTTTTGTTGTTGGCGCAATAGAGGTAGTAGAACATGTCACTGTACTCGTTGTTGTTGCCGCTATATTTCGGGATATGTTATCGCTTACCGAATTTGATGTAAGCGTTGGGCGTGAAATGTGATACGGCACAGGTGAAGCGCACTCTTCACTCCAAGACATCGGAGTCGTCAATGGTAAGTTTGGAGGACAAGTCCGCTGACCTGAATGTTGAGGGGGTTTGAGGGTGGTCGATGGATTGGGCTTTGCGCCTTCGCTGTCACTCTGGGACCGAATAGAGAAATATGCGTTGTTGCGTTGAACTGAAAGCCGGCGCTCATTTTGCTCGCGTTGCTTCTGAGCTCGGATTTCAGCTTGACTCATCGCTTTCTGTTTTCATTTGGTTTGTTTGTTTATTTTATTTATTTTTTATTTTTTTTTTTGTTTTATTAAATTATCACAATATTTAATGACTACGGAGCGAACTTAAAAACACGTCCGCACTCTTCGACTGTCAACTGTTGACGATGTTTAACCAGAGATTAGTGTTAACCAGACATTGAGTAACCGGCCCTAAGCGTTTAATGTGCTTGTGCTTGTGTGAATGTGTTTTGTACATACATTTCTATTCTTATTTGACGTTAGTTTTGTTGTTGCCATTCTTTGGACTAAAAATTTGCTTTTTTGCGTTTCTTTACTTTTTCCTGTTATTCTGTTTTAGTGAGTGCATTTTGCTTACGCTCTTGCATTTTGACACTTTTCAGATTTTAGTTCGAAAAGATAAGGAATGGACCTAATATGATATAGTGAAAACCAGTCTAAAGCTGCATTTACACGAGTCGATTTTCCTGGTGATACATTTCCACAGGAAACAAAAGTTGAACGAGTGCAATGAATTTTCAGTTTGTTTAAATTGTGATATTATTTCCAGTGATTTCGTTTCTTCCAAAAAATGTTGCCCTTTCACAGTGCAAAAAGTGTTGGATGTTACACTCAACCCTATAAAAGGGTATGTCTTTGCCTTCTTCTCCTTGTACAGCTCACGCATTTCATAATATTATCGTTTTAAGCAACCATCTGATTTTCAGGGTAACCATCTCCTCTGACAAAGCTTCAAAGGGCAGATTATCAGCCGGGCTCCCATTTTCGTTTACTTTTGCGTTTTGCGTTTTCGTAAAAATCGTACGTTTTTATTTTTGGGTGCTCTTGAATTCGCAACTTTTTGTTATCGATAAGTTCCATTTTCCACATTCCAGCATTCTTAAAAGCCATCCCTTGAAGGTATACAACAATTATCGCACATGTATCGTCCGCACCAAATCGTAAATCTTCGTTGCTTCGATAAATTTTCGTTGCCCAAAACGGAGATGTGTATAATAAATAGTGAATTAAACAATTAAAATCAACATAAAACGTTAATTTTAGGACGCCAAAAATATCGCAAAATATAATGGGCATAATCAAAAATAAATCTAAACTAAGCTAGCTTGTTATTTATGTTAATTTTGCCATTTACTTTTCATTCCACCGTCTCATCGGCAACCGATTTGAAACCGCAAAAATTTTCCGATTTGCGAATATTGGAGCACGTAATTTTGCGATTTGAAAACTAAAACGCAAAATTTTTGCAAATTCGGAAACGGGAGCCCGGCTGTATGTGCGTTTTTTTGCTTTACAAAAGTGTGACATTTAAAGAAACGGACACACAATTTTCTCACCGTTTGCCTTTATTTTAGATTCGAACGCGAAAAGAGAAATGGGCAATGAAAAGGCGAAGATGCTCAAAGATCATTTGTGCATTAAATAAAAAAAAAATCGCTTACGTTATTTTCGCGGTTAGGGAACCGTAAAACGTTTGCTTGTTTGTTTAATTCCCTGAACCGTCCCTGTTTTGATATGGCGCTTCATTCTTTTATTCCAAATTAAAAACATATCATATTGTACTAGCAATATAGAAGTATTACATATATGAGGTCCATACAATATCAAAAAATTTTTACAAATTGTTGCTAGTATTTGCAAGTTTTTACAGGAAATGCATTCAATAACCCAACATTTTTGCAAGAGAGAGCGAATTCGAGAGCGTAACAACCCGAAAGAGCCGCAAATTCTTGCAAGTAAAAATTTTACTAGCAGGAATTTGCAGGAGTCAAAAAGTAAGGTTATGTGTCAAATTCAAATGGAAACAAACTGTTTAAGAGGATGATTTGATGAAACATAATTAGTGAAATGAAAATACGAATGAAAAATTTAAATCTATTCTATATTTTTTATTTTTATGACGATGGGAACTATTCCCAATTAAAAAGAAAATTGCGCGCCAAAACTTAACCGTCACAAAGTGTCAAAATGGCATAAGTTGCAAGTTTTTACTAGGTTTGCGTTCAATAACTTTTTCTGAAAATTGTCTCTTGCTCCCAATTTTACTCTCTATTTTTCTTTTACGCTCTCGCTTTAAGTACTTACTGGAAAAGTTATTGAATGGACCTATGGTTACTACAGTGGAATTCGGCGAATAAAAAGTTTACAAATATTCTACCCCACTTTGTTAGGGATCTACCACTGATTTTATTAATAACACTGTGCGACACTAAAAAATGCCTCGGAAGTTATGTATATTTTCTGGTAGGTCTTTTCGAGTAAAACAAGAATCGAAATATGCCAAACACCCCCGAAATCTTGATTTACCGTTAAAAAACCAGTTTTTCGTACTTTTGCGCACTTATTTATGCTTTTTTGTAGCACTGTGTAATTTACCACTAATTTGGTTTTGAAGTGACAACACTGCCTTTAGGCCAAGTGTACACAATTAGGGATATGTATGTAATATTCTTACCTAGTACTTGGATCTCCACATTGCGTCGCGACGTTTGTTTCTGTTTGCTTTGTGCCATGCATGTGTATGTGCCCGCGTCTTCCAGTCGCTGAAGCTGCTCTATAATGAGAGTACCATTGTTGTAGGCACGCTGTCTGCGATTAATTGGCAGCGTTTGACCATCTAACGAATGTCCAAAATTCACAGAAATGTTGAATAGAAAACAAGTGACAAACAAATTATTTAATACGTAAATCAATACAAATGTATATATTTATGTACATACATTAGACTGCAGGTTTTTTTTTGTAAGTCAAGTATGTATTAGTGGCATTGTGCTACTATGATAGCACGGCCGAGTAATCATAGTCAACTTATGTACAATAATCGGAAAAGTTATAGCCGCACCAAATTTTTACAAGTTTTAAAATATTATTTTTGATGTTATTTAATTTTGGTTAGTTGTTTATAGTTCATTCCTTAACAACATCCGTATTAATACAAACTTAAAGGCAGTTTCACACGATTGGGAATGTGCCGAAATTTGGTGCAAATCGTATCCCAGTTGTGTGAATACACAAACATTTTTCTTTATCCCAATCACGAAAAATAATTTGTTCAAATTTTTCAATACAAGATTGCTGTATTGTACCAAACTTTTGACTAAAAAAAAAATGTGTCCCAATTTTTTTATTTTGTACCAATAGCCCAATATAAAAATGTACAAATCAGTACAAAGGTACCAATCGAGTGACACTGTCTTAAAAATTTACACAATTAAAAAAAATCTACGAATTTTCGTAAAAATTTGGAGTTTTTAATTAGATTCTGAGTATGCAGTTTTGTAGCCCATTGAATTCCAGTAGAATAAAGTACAAGTGTTGGAGCACGCCTAGTTCATCATCGTAACCTTCATTTATTTTAAT